CTTTATAAACTCCAAAGTGAAATTTTCTGTAAGCAACTGAAGAACTCCTGATTACTAAAATTGTCCGCCTGGAGAAAATTTCTGTTAGGAGTAGCGCAAAACAATGTTCTGAGAAGTGCCTACTCTCTCAGGTAATTAGAGTTCTGATGCTGTACAAGAGAATGATTCCTCATATACATAACAAAAAATAAGGGGGAAATGTGAGGCCTGAGAAATCTTTAACCAGAAACCTTTAATGTGGAGATTTCCCATACCTCAAGCTCTGCCTGGTCTCACCCCCTCCCCCTGGATTTCGCACATATCAGAGAGTTCTGCATGGCTCCAACAAAGTCTCTCGCTCACCTTTGAAGCCAGGGGATTCCAACCCGCCCTCCAACTTCCCAAACCCCTGCCCTAAAACCCAATTCTCTACTCCACCGCATATTTTTCTATAAAGATGTGACAGTAACGGAGCAGGAGGTCTTTTGCTCAATCCATTGAATTGGTGAGAGCAGGGACCCTAACTCGAGCTAGCTAATAAACTTTCCTTTTGCTTTTGCATTGTCGTGTGTTAGCAAATTCCTCGCACCAAACAACTCCTTCATAACCTGGGCACAACAATACCACCTTGGAAACCCAAGGAGGGGTCACTATGGGTTGGAACTAACTCCACAGCAGTGAGTATGGTTTTTTGGTTTTTATAGAGAAAATTATAAATTTTACATGGATCATATTTATTCTTTTCTAAGGATTTTCATATCATTGGAACACAGATATATTGCTTTAAAAGAATTAAACAACACAAAGGAACATGACCAAAAGCAAGTTTCCCTTCATTAGTCATTGTTAATCTCATTCAAGACCCATTGCTACAAGTTGAGATGCAACCTTCTTAAATGCATTTTTACCTCAAACAAATTTATTCACAAACCTGGCTTTAGTTGTATATTTCTTTTTCTGATGATGTTCATCCAACTATTATTTTATGTCCTTCATTAAATGTAATACTTTCCTCCATACAGTCCAGGTATATTTCTTGGAAGATTTATTTACATATATATTTATTATTGAGAACTGTGAGTATATTTTTTATTACATTGTGAAGGATTATCACAGTGTATAAGAAATCCATCAGTATTTATGTTAGTCTTTTATCTAACCTCACTGTTAACTCTAGTACTCAGTTATTTCTGTAGGATTTTCTAGGCATCAAATTATGGTGATTAAACACCTCCACCCTGAATCATGTCCCCATGTATTCTCAGAGGGTATTCCAAAGAACTGCTTTCCAGTCACCCTTAATGGTAACTTCATCATTAATGTAAACTTTTTTTTTTCTTTCTCTCCTGTCTTACTTTCCCCACTTCCTCATATGTGTTTCTTGAGATCATCTCCCGCATAAACTATCTGCTACACTCATGTCATCAACTCAGGGTCTGCTTTGGGTAGAGACAATAGATGTTCAGCAAATATTTTTGGGTGACTAACATCAAACTGGTAATGGTAATTATTTTTAGCAGCAAGAGTAAAATTGGGGAGTCAGAGGTGAAGGAAACCAGTGTTACCACCTTCCTGTCTTTTTTCTGCAAAAATATAGGCATGTGTGTTAAGCATAGTATTCATGATTATCTGTATATGTGTCTCATTCTACAAAATTGAATCTTGTCTTCTAAAACTTTGCACATAATTTGTGTTTCATGAGACGACAGGATACTTATTATATAACATAACTAGGCATGGTTTTTCTCATAAATATGATCCCTTTGTTGAGAATGTTTCTTCCTCTTCTTGCCATCTGCCTAAAAGATATGCCTTGTTGAAAGGTCATTGCATACCCCTAAGGTGTTAAAAAGCTTTCATTAACCCAACAAACATTTATTGCCAGTGTCCTCTGTTTCAACTCTGTGCCACCACCATGAGATAACAAGAAAAAAGAAGGCATAGCACATGTCCTCAGGGGATTAGTAGTGCAGCTGGGGGAAGGGCAGAAGACATAACTGATGCAACAGAGTATGCTAGGTTAGGAGCACAGAACAGGGAAGAATTATATTTGAATGGTGTAGTTTGTCAGGAAAGACATTGAGGAGAAAGCATTTCAGCTGGGTCTTGACATATGAGTTAGAGTTCAAAGAGCTGACAAGAAAGAAGGAACAATTCAGGAAGACAAAATAGCTTCAGCAAAGGTTTTTAAGTTTTATTATTCATTCTTCCTTGGCTATTCTAAGCATACTGAGCTTACTTCCTGCTCAATCTTGAAAAAGTTTTTCTTTTTAACCTCCCTATGCTTTTGTTGCCTTTTCTACTGAAAGAGTAATAAGAATACATAAACACTACCCCATCCAAAAAACCAAACTCACTGCCATTGATTCAGAGCCGACTCATAGTGACCCCTCCTTGGGTTTCCAAGGTAGTATTACTACAGAAGTAGATTGCCCAACCTTCCTTCCGAGGTGTGGCTGGTGGGTTTGAACCGCCAGCCTTCTGGTTAGCAGTCAATTACCTTAGGCACTATGCTACCAGACCTCCCACACTACCCCAAAGGGCGGCATTAAAGATTAAAACAAAATGAATATAAAATACTCAGCACGATGCCTGATACACAGCACTTCAAAAATGATAGCTCTTAGTGTCTTCTCACCTTTTACTGAGGGTATATGCTCTCTTCCTCGGGAGGAAGGTTGGGTAATCTACTTCCGTAGTGATACCACCTCAGAAATCAAGGAGAGGTCGCTATGAGTCTGATCCAATTCAACGGCAGTGAGTTTGGTTTTTTATATGCTATATGTTTTGGGTTTAATTTTTTAATTAAATAATTATCATTTTAGGGGTTACCAAACTCTATTTCATATGTATGTGTCTTATTCAAGTACCTCCCAGAAAGAGATGAAGGTTTAGCTGTTATGGCCTCATAGTACCCAACAAAATGCCTTGGATGCACAATATGTAGAGGCTTGATCATTCTAAATACTGTTACATACAATGAAAGCTTTTGTAATTAAAAAATCCATTGTAAATGTTTGAAAATCAAAAGATTAATCAAAACTTCTCACCCTTAATGTCTATTCTAGAAGACATTCCTACAGTCAAAAATGTGATTTTACTATTTAAAAGCAGTGAGTCAAAGCCAAATTTTTCAGCGTTGAGACAATAAAATAAGATCTGGCCCAAGTCTTGGCACTTCTCTGGGGTCCCACAACACCCCATCCACAATGCCCATGCAGGATCACAGTCACCTTCCTTACACATGGCACATCCTCTCATAAAATGGGTTTTTCATTCTATTTCCCTATCAGCATTCTATCTGACCAGAATCCTGCACCCTTTGACAACAAAAGATTTCTTAGCATTATGAGAGCCATTCTCCAGGATTTTCAGAGAACAATGTACAGATGGGAGGGAATGTCACATTCAAAAACAAGGTGTCAGAAAGTCATATAGAAGATATTGCACAGGTCAATGACTGAGGTGACACCCTCTAAGGAAGAAGTGTGAGGAATGTTTTAATTGGAAACACAGGAGCACACCAGGAAAAGGAAAACATGTTGTTTTCTCCATTTTGGAGAATTTAACTACAAAAACACAATTATGTAATTAAATGATTAAGTTTTCCAGTAGGATAAATAATAACAAGGAAAAAACATTTGACATGGACAATAGTCCCTCAGCAGGGTATAAAAAGGGGCATGGGGTAAAGAGACTCCCACATTTGGAAACTTCACTCTCTTGGAAACACCCAGAACCTCCACCCTCTGACACCATGGTCAACTCCTGTTGTGGCTCTGTCTGCTCTGACCAGGGCTGTGGCCAAGACCTCTGCCAGGAGACCTGCTGCCAGCCCAGCTGCTGTCAGACCACCTGCTGCAGGCCCACCTGCTGCCGCCCCAGCTGTTGCATCTCCAGCTGCTGCCGCCCCTCCTGCTCTAGTTCCAGCTGCTGTGGCTCCAGCTGCTGCCGCCCCAGCTGCTGTGTGTCCAGCTGCTGCAGGCCCCAGTGCTGCCAGTCTGTGTGCTGCCAGCCCACCTGCTGCCGCCCCAGCTGTTGCACGTCCAGCTGCTGCCGCCCCTCCTGCTGTGGTTCTAGCAGCTGTGGCTCCAGCTGTTGCCGTCCTTCCTGCTGTGGCTCCAGCTGCTGCCGCACCTCCTGCTGCTTCCGCCCTGTCTGTGGCCAAGTCTCCTGCCACACCACCTGCTATCGCCCAACCTGTGTCATCTCCACCTGCCCCCGCCCCATGTGCTGTGCCTCCTCTTGCTGCTGAGTCCCTTGCTCTGTATCCACCATATCCTTCTACTTCTGTCCTCATAGATGTGGGCCCTTTTTGTGCTGATCTTTAAGATACACAGATGCTGGTTGACACTGCTCAGTGGAGACGGGCTCATGATTCCAATGAGCCAAGCTATGGGCCACTGACTGTGAGCACATGCTGGTTCAGTCTAAACTCTCTCCCTTGTTGTCTTTTCTCCTCCAGGCTGGCAGCAAATACGGATTAATTTGCGTATCCACTAGCTAAGAAATTATCCCTATCCGCCACACTTCTCATTTTTCCTCTTTTACTTATGGGCTCTAGATTACCTTTCTCAACAGGTAAAAACCTGTAGCATCTATAGGGGCACTGGTCTTACTCCTGGACCTGGGAGTCCAGTTATAGCCCATATTTTATCCTAGAATTAATTTCTCATGTTGCTTCTTTGCTTTCTAATAAACTTCTCCTCACATGGAAAATTCATTGGTATGGCTCTGTGGTTTTTATAATCATTTTACTCAGTAAGTAGGCAATTATATTCTATATGAAGATACGGGGGGGGGGGAACTTATGTTGAAGTCATTTTGAAAAGAAATGTTCTATCAAATATAGATAATTTAAGAAAATTAATTCCTCATCTTGGGATAGTCACACCACATTGTTGTTCTTGCTGTTAGGTGCCGTCAAATTAGTTCTGACTCATATAGATCCTTTGTATGACAGAATGAAACACTGCCTGGTCCTGTGCCATCCTCCCAATCCTTAGTACGCTTGAGCCCGTCATTGCAGCCACTGTGTCAATCTATCTCAGTGAGAATGATCCTCTGCTTTACCAAACATGAGAGCCTTCTCCAGGGGGTTGTCCCTCTCACCACACAAAAGTCTAAAATTGGATTCCAGACCCATTTATCTCACAAGCTTTCAGTTCTGAATACAGATTTTTTTTTTCTTCCATCAGCATCCCCCAAAGACCAAGATTCACTGGGATTCTCTTGGTTAGTAAGCTGAATTTTTCAAGCTCTTCCTCAGAGGGGAAATCCCTTCCAGAGCCTCAGCTTTCCATGGTCTCAAAGTAATGTCTCTTGGCCCTGTGAAAACATTAAAATTGTAACTCCACCTTACTGGTCTAATAGAGATTGCCGGAACCTGAGACTGTGGCTCTTAGACACCCTTTAAGCCTGGAACTCAACTCAATCTTGGGGATCAACTTTCAGTCGAACAACAGACAGGCCAATAAAGTGAATAATGAATAATAACACTGGGGAAGAATGTACTCCTCAGTAAAATCAGCCATACAACATGAAAAGGGCAGCATTGTCTCAAATCAAAGCTCAAAAGGCAGAAAGGGGCAGGAAAGAAAGTTGAATGGAAATAGGGAACCCAGAGAGAAAGTGGGAAGA